GCAGCGTGGAATGCATACATGTTTATTTACTAAGTTAACACACAAACAAAAAGCAACGTAACATGAAGCTCACAATGGCTACACACAAAACAAGAGTCAAGATCCCACATCATAGGTAGGCAACATGGCTGCCTAAGTATGATCCCCAATCAGAGACAACGATCGACAGCTGCCTCTGATTGGGAACCACACCCGGCAAACATAGAAATTCACACCCTGACCAAACCAACGAGAAACAACAGGCATTTAAAGGTCAGGGTGTGACAACACCTGTCAGGTGGATGGATTATCTTGGCAAAGGAGAAATGCTCACTAACAGGGATGTAAACACATTTGTGCACACAATTTGAGAGAAATAAGCTTTTTGTGTGTATGGAACATTTCTGTGATCTTTTATTTCAGCTCATGAAACATGGGACCAACACTTTACATGTAGCATTTATATTTTGGTTCAGTATACCGGTAATATGGCAAAAAATCCTAGCCTATTAGAGGGCATGGAGAAGATTCTACCAGATTGGTTATACCTATCCAATTCTCCTGGGGCTGCATCTCAATAGTCTAATGTGGCTTCCTCCCGGGGCTGCATCTCAATAGTCTAATGTGGCTTCCTCCCGGGGCTGCATCTCTAGTCTAATGTGGCGTCCTCCTGGGGCTGCATCTCAATAGTCTAATGTGGCTTCCTCCCGGGGCTGCATCTCAATAGTCTAATGTGGCTTCCTCCCGGGGCTGAGTCTCTATAGTCTAAAGCGGTTATCTCCTCCCCGTCTCCTCTCCTTCATCTGCACTGATCTTAAAACTACAGGATAGGTCAAAGCAGTATGGCGGATGCCTTCTGTGATTTTGTTTCCCCTGTCCAGCTTTTTCACGTCAGTGCAGAAGAAAGGAGACAGCAGATGCAAATGAGCTGTTAGCTAAATCTGGTGCAACACATCATTTCTCAGTATACTGAGACTTACACTACTAGTCAAAAGTTTGAACACACCTACTCATTCAAGGGATTTTCTTTGTTTTTTAAACTATTTTCTACATTGTAGAATAATAGTGAAGACATCAAAACTATGAAATAACACATATGGAATCATGTAGTAACCAAAAAAAGTGTTAAACAAATCAAAATATATTTTAGATTCTTCAAAGTAGCCACCCTTTGCCTTGATGACAGCGTTGCACACTCTTGGCATTCTCTCAACCAGCTTAATGAGGAATGCTTTTCCAACAGTCTTGAAGGAGTTCCCACATATGCTGAGCACTTGTTGGCTCCTTTTCCTTCACTCTGTGGTCCAACTCATCCCAAACCATCTCAATTGGGTTGAGGTCGGGTGATTGTGGAGGCCAGGTCATCTGATGCAGCACTCCATCACTCTCCTTGGTCAAATAGCCCTTACACAGCCTGGAGGTGTGTTTTGGGTCATTGTCCTGTTGAAAACCAAATGATAGTTCCACTAAGCGCAAACCAGATGGGATGGCGTATCGCTGCAGAACGCTGTGGTAGCCATGCTGGTTAAGTGTGCCTTGCATTCTAAATAAATCACTGACAGTGTCACCAGCAAAGCACCCCAACACCACCTCCTGCATGCTTCATGGTGGGAACCACACATGCGGAGATGTCAGATTTGGACTCATCAGACCAAAGGACAGATTTCCACCTGTCTAATGTCAATTGCTCGTGTTTCTTGGCCCAAACAAGTCTTCTTATTGGTGTCCTTTAGTAGTGGTTTCTTTGCAGCAATTCGACCATGAAGGCCTGATTCACACAGTCTACTCTGAACAGTTGATGTTGAGATGTGTCTGTTACTTGAACTCTGTTAAGCATTTATTTGGGCTGCAATTTCTGAGGCTGGTAACTCTAATGAACTTATCCTCTGCAGCAGGGGTAACTTTGGGTCTTCCTTTCCTGTGGCGGTCCTCATGAGAGCCAATTTTATCATAGTGCTTGATGATTTTTGCGACTGCACTTGAAGAAACGTTCAAAGTTCTTGAAATGTTCCGTTTTGACTGACCTTCATGTCTTAAAGTAATGATGGACTGTCATTTGAGCTGTTCTTGCCATAATATGGCTATCTTCTGTATACCACCCCTACCTTGTCACAACACAACTGATTGGATGAAACGCATTAAGAAGGAAAGAAATTGCACAAATTAACTTTTAAGAAGGCACACCTGTTAATTGAAATGCATTCCAGGTGTCTACCCCATGAAGCTGGTTGAGAGAATGCCAAGAGTGTGCAACGCTGTCATCAAGGCAAAGGGTGACTACTTTGAAGAATCTCAAATATAATTTGATTTGTTTAACACTTTTTTGGTTACTACGTGATTCCATGTGTGTTATTTCGTCGTTTTTCTGTCTTCACTATTATAAAAAAAATTAAGAAAAACCCTTGAATGAGTAGGTGTGTCCAAACTTTTGACTGGTACTGTATGTTTATGTTGAACATTGTCCTCTGTTCAAATAAATGTGATGACAATGAGTGGTAGCCACTTATAGAGATGTGCCCTTGGTTTCCATGGCATCTATTAATGACAACTAAAGAGGGAAAGGGGATACCTAGTCAATGTGAATGAGACTGACATTACAGGCCTGCTACCCAGGCTATGATTGAGAGGGGCTAAATTATATAAAAATAGGGTGATCTACACTGCTCAAAAAAATAAAGGGATCACTAAAATAACACATCCTAGATCTGAATGAATGAAATAATCTTATTAAATACTTTTTTCTTTACATAGTTGAATGTGCTGACAACAAAATCACACAGTCTTCAAGTCTGTCACATGTGCTCAGTGTATCAATGGAAATCAAACTTATCAACCCATGGAGGGCTGGATTTGGAGTCACCCTCAAAATTAAAGTGGAAAACCACACTACAAGCTGATCCAACTTTGATGTAATGTCCTTAAAACAAGTCAAAATGAGGCTCAGTAGTGTGTGTGGCCTCCACGTGCCTGTATGACCTCCCAAACCTTGGCAAGCCCAGGAGGGGCGGATGTCTCGAGGATCCCTCCAACCATGGATAAAGCACCACTACAACTCCGGACATCTGTGTGCAAGTGCTTGGTGTTGGAGTAGCATGAGTCCAGATGTGCTCAAGTGTGTTCATGTCTGGCGAACGGGCGGGCCTCCTACAAGCATCATGCCTCCTCTTGCAGGGACTGTGACACTCCGCAATGAGGTCTGCTTTGTCCTGGCATTAGAGAACCCAAGGCCAACCGACAGCATTGGTTCACAAGGGGTTGAGGTCTGACATCTCGGACCTAATGGCAGCGGCTACCTCTGGCGAGCACATGGAGGGCTGTGCGGCCCCCCAAAGAAATGCCACCCCACACCATGACTGACCCACCGCCAAACCGGTCATGCTGGAGGATGTTGCAGGCAGCAGAACGTTCTCCACGGCGTCTCCAGACTCTGTTACATGTGCTCAGTGTGAACCTGCTTTCATCTGTGAAGAGCACAGGGCGCCAGTGGCGAATTTGCCAATCTTGGTGTTCTCTGGCAAATGCCAAACGTCCTGCACGGTGTTGGGCTGTAAGCACAACCCCCACCTGTGGACGTCGGGCCCTCATACCACCCTCATGGAGTCTGTTTCATGGGGGGTTGTAGACTCCGGCTCATGCTACCACTAGAGTGAAAGCACCGCCAGCATTCAAAAGTGACCAAAATATCAGCCAGGAAGCATAGGAACTGAGAAGTGGTCTGTGGTCACCACCTGCAAAACTAGCCCTTTATTGGGGGTGTCTTACTAATTGCCTATAATTTCCATCTGTTGTCTATTCCATTTGCACAACAGCATGTGAAAGTTATTGTCAATCAGTGTTGCTTCCTAAGTGGACAGTTTGATTTCACAGAAGTGTGATTGACTTGGAGTTACATTGTGTTGTTTAAGTGTTCCCTTTATTTTTTTGAGCAGTGTATTTAACCTATTGGCCTGAGAGAGAGAAGTAGAGAGGGAGAGTCAGCATGTCCAGAGAAAGGTAGAGACACTTAAAGGGGCTTATCATCCTCTAATGGTCATGTAGGCGATCGATCAGCATTCAAGGGTAGTAATCCAATACCACAATGCACTGTTGGAAGGTCAGGAGATCCATTTACGTTCTCTCTGGTCTCTTACAGGGCTTTAAGCTCTCCAAGATATTGCAATATGCCAATGTTTTTTTTTAAAGTTGAAAAACATTATTTTATGTCATTGAAGAGTCAGTATGAATCTATATCTCTCACTTGAATGTACAGAGATAGTTCTAATATACATAAACAGTTATCACCTTTTTTATCACCAGATGTATATGCCCAATGCTTTATTGTCATAACAGCCATATAAAACAATTACAAATCCTAAAATCCATACATGATTTGAAGCGGCATTCTCTTGATAATCTATTAAAATGTCCCCCACACTTCTCATGCAATGTCACTGCCAGTTGTAGTACTTCAGATCACAGAGGTCGGAGGTCATCTAAATAAGGCTGTGACACCCTGTATGTTTGAACAATGGCAGGTCATATTAGTAGTATTGTGTGGAGAGGGCAAGAGAATACTGAGCCTTTGTCGTAGCTCTGCACACGCTCTTCTCCCTGTGGGCCTATCACCTGGTTGCCACGGTAACCACCCTCCCACCACACATTCTAACACGCACGCAAACGCCGACACACACTTCTCCCTGTCTCTCTCACTGTGCGGGCATGTCAGGCCCTATTCAACATTCAACTTGAGCATAAGAGAAGCGTAGCATGTGCAAAACGGCCTGCACAAAGCCCTGGCCAAGCAAAACCCTTTGTTGTCCTCCTGTTTAGTCCCCCTGCAGCCAATGCCCAGAATCAGCAGTGCCAACAGTTGAAGGGAAAGTGCCCACCCAGCAAAAGCCCTAAATCCCCCATTGTGCACCCTTTGTTTGGCAAGCCTCGCGATACTGCCAGGTACGGCCCCGGACGTATATATTGGGGTGTCCAACTTTTTTACTGTTACACTTTACTTGTGGGCCAGGTTGGACAGTATCCAGTGGAAAATGTCGCAGTATTCTGGAAAGGTAAGCAGCACCTGAGTCTTCCTGTATACACACAGCATCAGGTAGGTTACCACTGGGACATAACTGACTGGACAGCCAGGCCAGGTCTCCCTTGAAAATTAGGTATTTGGACCTCAATGGGACTACCAGGTAAAGGTTGGAGAGAACTCCAGCCAATAAATATATAGGTTTGGGAGTGTACGCATTTACAGGTAGTGTAGGTGTGATAAAATGAGTTTGTACATTTGAAGGCAATCCCTGGTGAAAATGTGAGATTTGGAGATTGTTCTAATCAGTGCCATCATTCAGTTTGTCTTGCTTGTAGAAATGTTAAATCTGTCAAGGGAGTTAAAATATATAAAATATTATATCTAAAAGAGCAAGGCCCTTGGAGCATTTTATTTATTTTATATTTGATTTAAACTATCAGTGGCAGGTATGGATAATTAGTTGGTGGCTGGCCAATAGGAATATACATACCATAGTCTTGTATCCATACTGCTGCTAAAGTCAACTCTAGTCTTCTATTAATACCTATAGTTGGCTTCAGCACATAGATACAGTATGGATACAAGACTGCATGACAAAATATATTTATCCACTGAACTGACTGTACTACGCCAACACTTACAAATCCACACCTAGGGCTCTGTTCGCTTCAGCGTTACAGATTCCGCAATAGAAATGTAAAGGTAACTTCCGATTGAGCAGACATGCAGCGTTTACCGTGAATGCAGTCTACGCTAAAGCGGGAACATTGCGTTTAAATTTAAATCACGCTGTAAAGCTGAACTTCCGCGATGCAGATTGAATAGAGCCCCTACACTCCAGTGACAAGGTGTCGCTATAGCTTCTACCCCCAAGCCATAAGACTCCTGAACAGCTCATCATGGCTACCCAGGACTATTTGCATTATTATCTATGCATAGTCACTTTTACTCTACCCACATGTACATATTACCTCAATTACCTTGACTAACCAGTGCCCCCGCACATTGACTCTGTACCGGTACCCCCTGTATATAGCCTCCCTACTGTTATTTTATTTTACTGCTGCTCTTTAATTATTATTTACTTATCTATTTTTTACTTAACACTTTTTTTCTTAAAACTGCATTGTTGGTTAAGGGCTTGTAAGTAAGCATTTCACTGTAAGGTCTATACCTGTTGTATTCGGCGCGTGTGGCAAATACAATTTGATTTGATTTGATCTGATCCACATGTCCGTCAAGCCCCTAGCCTGGGATCCAAACTCAATCGTTCTGGACCGTTTCACTACATTTGGCTTTGCGAACAATAATGTGAAATGGAGCAATTGAGTTTGTATCCAAAGGCTATCCCACCAGGACTTCGGTTCACATACTTTAAGGGTTTGCTTTAGCCTGCCTGCAGTGGCAGCTGGGTGGGGTTTGCGCTTTTGGGATTTTTCTATGGGTTACATTGCAACAGGCAAGCTAAATCAAGCCCAGTTAAAGTATAATGATGTTAAATATTATTTGAACCCAGGTCTGTTGGATCCCAGGCCATCCTACCTCAACCTCCCCACCCTAACTAATGAACTATGGTGTTAACCTCCTCTTCTCCACCCACCCAACACAGATCACCTTCTATGAGGGAAAATGCTTCACCGGCAGGCAGCTGGAGGTCAGGGGCGACTGCGATAACTTCCAGGACCGTGGCTTTATGAACCGCGTCAACTCCATCCGCGTGGAGAGCGGCGCCTTCTGCTGCTTCGACCACCCCGACTTCAAGGGACAGCAGTACATCCTGGAGCACGGCGAATACCCTGAGTTCCAGCGTTGGAACAGCCACAATGACCACATGGGCTCCTGCAAGCCCATCAAGATGGTGAGAGATGGGGTTAAGGGTTAAGGCTTGAAGGGATAGGGGTTAAGGGTTCAGAATTGAAGTGATAGGGGTTAGGGGGTTAAGGTTTGAAGGGATCGGGGTTAAGGGTTAGGGGGGTGCTAATGAGGATGATGAGATTGATGTTATAGAACCATTTTCTACTTCAACTCAAAGATACTTTAGATTCTTCTCGCTCATCTTCATTATAGCAGTATTCCATATTCGACTATTGAAAAGCATGTATGAAATCCAAATGCAGACTCATGTTAACTCCTCTCTTCTCCTGTGTCTTGCAGCACGGTGAGCACTACAGAATGGAACTGTTCGAGGCCTGTAACTTCTCCGGCCAGTGTGTGGAGATCTGTGACGACTGCCCCTTCCTGCAGAGCCGTGGCTTCAGCAAGAACTGCATCAACTCCATCAAGGTCTACGGAGATGGAGCGTAAGTAACGCACCTCTAGCCAATCACACACACATATCAAACTGTGAACGCAGAGATAAACACAAACTGAGATACATTCACAGTGATTAAACGTTTGGATCTATTTTTGTTGAGCCAAGATATCCAACCTTTTAGCATATGTTATGTTGGAACATAATTGGAACACATATGCCAACAATCTAGCAGGAAAAGCGTAGACGCTGCTGAATTCCTAAATAACTAATACCACTATTCACAACTGTGGTCCCAACTGGTTTTTTCCCAGGAGGGAGTTGAATATTAAAGGGGAAGTTCAAGATTTTACCACTTGATGTTAGATGGTTCCTCACCTTGAAAGAAGTCTATTTATTTTTAAAAGCCAAGACCCCTTTATGTAACATCAAACCACATATGTAGTTGATTTGATGATATAAGTCTATGTAATTGATTAATGTATTCATTGAATGGACATAGTATAGCTATTATCGAACACACAATACATTTCTATAGTTTACTTAATATCCAGATTACATCATATTAAATTACACAGTACTCAGTAGATATATTTAGACCATTACCTGTTATTCCATCTGCTCTAACAGTGTGTGAAGTGAGCAGGTGTGCGCTCATTTCTAACCCGTTTCCTTCTGTAGCTGGGTGATGTATGAGGAGCCCAACTTCCGTGGCCGCATGTACATTGTAGAGAGAGGAGACTACTGCAGTCACAACGAGTGGCAGGCCGAGAACCCCAACATCCAGTCCATCCGTAGAGTGGTCAACTACTTCTAAACCTCTTCCCCTGTCCCGCCCCAGACCCGGCATGGACTTTCACCACTCTAGAAATGTACAATAAAAAAATTAAAACATATTTTAAAAAAAGCGTACAAATGTATTTTTATCGAACACTTGGCGTGGTATGTTTCTGTGAGATACGAGTGAGTGTATGAGGGTCTGTATAGAGCAGTGGTTTTCAACCTGGGTACTAGGACCCCTGGGGGTTACCCCGCCTATCCACAGGGGGTACTTGGGAAGACTCATTAAGAATATAGGCCTAACGATTGATTGCACATGAGGGGGTACTTCGAAGAGCAAATCGTATCTGGGGTAAGGTACCCCAAAAAGGTTATGATTAGATAGGTAGATAGCACAGGACGTTGGTGGCACCTTAATTGGGGAGGATGGGCTCGTGGTAATGACTGGAGCTGAATCAGTGGAATGGTATCAAATATATCAAACATGATTTTCATGCGCTTGATGCCATTCCATTTGCCCCGTTGTGGTCGTTATTATGAGCTGTTCCCCTCAGCAGCCTCTACTGGTAGATAGGTAGATCGATACTGTATAGAGCACAGGCATAAGAAAAGTGACAAAAGAAAAATAAATACTCATACTATCACTCATTCACAACTGTGAATCATGAGGCACAAATACATACTAATCACACATGATCAACAACATAAAGCAAATTAGTATTTATTGTATGTAATAACAGGTTCTTAAAATAAACGCAAATTACTTTGAAACTATAGGCAACCTGAACTATATGGCACTAAGAGCGGTCATGTATTGTCATATCGGCAATCAAACTACAAAAAAAAATTTTTTTATCTCCAGCATTCACAACTTCAATAAATACAAAAATTGTACCAACTTCATTTTGCTTGATTAAGTTACTTCAAAAAGGGATCTTGAATATGAACAGAGCATGAAGAGAAATGTACATCAGTTGGAGAAACATCTTGTACACAAGCAACCAAAAATCCCTTAACCATCCAATTATAAGCCTCACATTCTAAACTGGGTTGAAATCTCAAACATGAACCTTCAAATAATCCAAGTGGTGTGACTGGGGAAAACACTATCCCCTCTACAGCATAAACCAATCAACAAATTAACATTGACTTATTTCCTTTTTTTGATCCACATCAGCTCATTTCCTTACAAATTATTTCCAACCTGTTTCACATTTTTAAAACAGAATTAATAACACTTTAGTAAGAAAAACAGAAGATACAAATGTTGTTGTATTGCTTGGGGGGGGGGGGGCAAAATCAAACACCCTTGTAAAATCAAACACCCTTGTAAAAGGACGTGGTGGAAGTGCTTTCAAAATGGCCACCGGCTGGACGGCACTTTAGCTGGAGGAGGCACAGTTCTTGTGGAGGTAGGACTTCATCTGGGCTATGACCTCGCTCTCCTCCTCCAGGGTCAAGTCCAGGTAGTCTTCTTCGTGTCGGGGGATGTCCTCCAGCACCTCATTCACCAGGTCCACGTCCATAGGGTCCTCCCCTTGGCTCCCAGAGCCTGGACACACAAATGACAAGTGTCATGTTCATTAGGGCTCTCCTTTGGGGATTTGGTTATAAAAGGCATTATGGTGCCTTAAGTATCAGCAGCATATTGAATGCCTTTCTCACATGGACCTCTCAACAGTGGAACACTAGCCAGTGTTTGTGACAATAAAACAGATTGTTTTTTTTTATTCAACAAGACCTGTATTGTTGTATTAACGCAGTAATGAGAGTGTGGATCCGTCTGTCCATCTGCATGCTTCTCTGTGTACGTACTTGTGTTCATGTGAGTCCTACCTGCGGACTCTGAGGAGGTGCTGGGCTCCTCGGACAGTGAGGAGGGGGGAGAGGGGGAGAGCAGCTCGGGGGGCAGGACCCCCTGGTTGTCCAGCAGCAGCTGGGTGGCCCCCTGCACGTCTCCCCCCGTCAGCCTCAGAGCAGCCTCGGCAGCCTCCAGCTCAAAGCCCAGGTATAACAGCTATGGAGAGGGAAGGATAAGGTACCATACACCACTGAGGAACATACCTTTAATATAGACATAGTGACAAGAGAGAGAGCACAAGTGAGAGCATAAGAGAGAGCGAGAGTGAGCGAGCACTCAAAAGAGGTAGGGGCTTGTTACCTGCTCAACCTTGGATTGATCTATGGGGAGCTCTGTGTCGTGGTTGGTTACAGCAGCAGACTCCGCCTGGGTGGACTCTAGAAGAATCTAGGGGAAACAAGCAAACCAGGATAAAGTAATACAAAAAAATACATATTAGCAAAGTATGCTAGCTAGCTCCTACACTCTTCTGCTAGCTAATGTAGCTTCATGGCTCTGGTTATGGTAACATGTTGTGATGGTTGGCATATCCTCCTTCATGGCGTATTGAGAAACAATTTGTGTTTTTGCAGTAGCGCGACGGTCTTTCACCCCATAGGCTCTGTCCATGTCTCCGTCTGCCTGATGGAGGGCCCGGGCAGCGTCTCTCTTGGAGTAACCCAGCTCTCGGAGGGTGGCCAGGCCCTCCATACGCCTCCTCCTCCTCTCCCTCTCAATCTGTTTCATCTCCTCCCTCTCCTGACAGGGACAGACAAAACCATAGAATTACACTCATTATGGCCACCGCTCCACCCATCATGGGACACTGACTTGAATAGTTATAGTAATTTTATTTCTATGATTATAACAGCCCTGATAACTTAGGTGCTATAAAATAAATGTTTCCTATCAACTGCAACTATATCAAGTGAGTGCTGGCCCCCTTTTTACCCACTATGAGCGCTGGCCCCTTTTTTCCCCCACTATGATTGCTGCTGCCCCCCCACTATGAGCACTGGCCCCTATTGCTATGGGGGGACCCACCTGTCTCCTGTGGGTGATGTGCAGCGCGGCCTCGTCTACGTTGCCATGGCAGGCCCTCAGGCCCAGACGGGCCTCCTGCTCAGAGAAACCCAGACCCATCAGCCCTGTCATCTTCCCTGGGTCCAGACACAGACGCCCATACAGGTCCTCCACCTACATACAACACAGCAGAGGTAAGAGGTAGAATCAGTTATATGACATTATTTTACAGTGAGGTGCCATGTTGTTGTTAATGTCTGGAGACAAGACAATCTGGAAGCAGGGCTTTAATGATGTACTGTACCCGCATTAGCTTCTGTGTGGCCTGGTGTTCGTTACCATCCAGGTACGCCAGTAAGCTCTGTAGGAGGTACAGCCTGAGGAACAGCACCTCCTCTCGTCCTGTGTTTCCCTGAAAGCAAAATTAATTAAATCAATTTACTATATTACAACGACTATGAAATTCAGATCAACATAGGTGCCTAGTGGGTTCGGGGTTAGGGGTAATTTGTTAACAGAGCCATAGACCAGTGTTTGTGGTTCATCACCTTGATCTGCATCAGCCTCTGCTGCTGCTCTCCGTAGCACTTGAGGAAGCAGTCCTCGGCCCTCTGCAGCCTCTGCTTGCCGTCGTCTAGGCAGGAGAGCGCCTCCAGGGCTCTGTAGCACCACACGATGTCCAGCTGCAGTACTGCATAGTTGTCCACCGTGCTCAGGAGCATGGAGCCACACTTACTGTATACACACACACACAAATATACATCTTATATCGGTCTTAAGAAAATCTAATGGATCGGAGGAACTTTACAATGGTATTAGAGGTGGAACAGAACGTGTAGTAGAAGTAGTGCACATTCAAAGTCAAATCAAATGATAACGCCTTAAACTGATCGAACATGACAATCTTTTTTTTCTTTGGGCGTTGACGGTTTTAACCGAAAGTTAAATGTGTGTTTTGACCAATATCTGCTTCGACAAAGGATTTCTGTGATTGTAGCTGAAGGTGTTTTACCCAAACTGGTCGTCAGCTTGCAGCAGGTGGCACAGAGCAGCGTCGTACTGTTTCCTCTTCATCAGAGCGCGGCCCTTTCTCATGGAACCCCATGGCTAGAATCAGAGCCTGAGGACAACAATTACACAGCATTAGAACTAGTCAGAGTTTGTGTGGTGCGGAGTCACAATCAGTGGAGGTCAAATTCGCACAGACCGCATGGCAAGAATCATATTTACCATTCAAGCCATGAGTTGTGAGAGCTTGATGTCCACTCATACCGTTTACCATGACAGTTATGAATATAATATTGATCATATGTTCATGAGACCTTTGTCTAGACTACCTTTTTCTCACTGTGAGGTATTTTCAGAGGGTTCCCCTTCTGATCAGCAATCTCTAGGAATGGTGTCGTGGCTGGGTCATCGGTGCCATCTGAAATGACAACCAAACCACAGAACATCCATAAAATAACACTCCCGTAGCGTTGCGATCAAGGTTAAACGCTGTATGAGGATCTTACAGAGAGGATCCGGAAGCCTAAAATGACAACTAAGCCACAGAACAACCATGTGATAACGTTGTGATTGTGTCTAACTAACCTCTCTCTGAGAGGATCTGGAAGCCCTTCTGGGTTCTCTGGACACTCTGGTCCTGGGTTCTCTTCTTCTCCTCCTCCTCCACCATCTGTTTCTTTCTCTCTGGCTCACTCACCCGCAGAACCATAATCTTACTGTTGTTCTTCACGTCCTGTTCATCCAGACGCTTCTCTGTGAAGAGGAACCGTTTCAATGCATGCAAAATTGAGAGAAAAAATAAGAAACCTGCACACTGCTCTTGATAGTTTCACTGCTCTTTATTGAGCTTTACGTATCGGACTCAAGGCCTTCGTCAGAGCTTTTACATGCAAAGTTGAAATGACCAAACATAATGAGAGTTTATATGCATTGATTCGAGGGGAGTTGTGGCACCTAGGCCTAAATGGGACTTACCAGGAGTCAGTGTCTTCCCATTCAAAATTAACTTGATGTATTTGAGTCCATATTGTTCAGCAATCCTATTCAAATGTAGGAAGAAAGTAGCACTGTATAGCTATGACCTTGATATACATAATAGGCATAATCTGAGACTGTACATCACTTCACCAACAGATAACATTATAAAAGATTGACATTGTGATGGACATTTTCACTTACCTAGCCATAATATCTTGTAGAAGGACATCCAGTTTAGTCTCCAAATAGTTCTTCTTCTTGACATCCTAAAGCAATCGGGTAAAAATCTGGAATTATGTTTATTTTCTGTAGGGCGTGTCAGGACAAACACTCCCACCCCTCAAACACACACACAAACCTTTTTCCCGTCTTTAGGCAGAAGGAGTTCCAACGTGGCCACACATGTCTCTCTGTAGGTCTTGTTTCTCATTCCTCGCTTTACTGCTTGGGATCGGATGCTCTCCAAGGCACTCGCCACTTCAGACACCGAGAAGCACACAATGGGTGCATAGTTCACTGCAAGCTCCTGTAATGACAACAGTGACAAAGACAGACACACAGGCATAGTTAAAAAACGATCACACAAATGTGACTCAAAGTCCGGTGACAGACCAACCAGCTGAATGTCGAACTTCAACACATTTAGAATGCTATAACTACCTAGCTAACATTACCTGCAGATGTTGCTGTCCTGCCTGGTTGTCTTCTGTGGAGTACGGTGGGTTCCAGAGCTGAATCTTATCTTCTTTTAAAAGATTTACCAGCTTTGCCTGAATATGCATCTCTGCCATTCTCAAAACTGTGGAAAAATTTGGTAGGAATGTGAAAGTGAACAGCCAGCCCGCAAACAATGGGGGAATTCCGCAGGATGAAAAAGTACGAAAATGTATGTACTCACTATTGTAAGTCGCTCTCGATAAGAGCGTCTGCTAAATAACTAAAATGTAAAATAGATGAGTAAAACTAACAAGCGACAGTAGGTAGAGCCAAAATTATTGCTCTAACTACGCAGTCGCAGACTACAACAACAACTGCGACGCTGCCCCTTTTAGTTACGACTAGCTAGCTATCACGCAGGTTAAATACGATACATTCGTTGTTTCAGGCTCCTTTCAAGATTTACCAAATTAATGATTCAGTCACGTTGAATGTGTTAACCTTGTCGCCCTATTATTTTGTGAGGAACGTGTTGAAACGAGGTTTTTGATGTTGTTGTTCTTCTCTTTCACTTCCGTACTACGGTAAATCACGAGGTCCAATTTGTCATCGCTCCGTATTCGGTCGCAAGGCACAGGGCTTCTAGAAAGTACTCCACCACAAGTATGTCAAATGATTTGAAATATGTAGGTTGTCCAATGATTTAAAATATGTAGGTTACCCATGTACGTTTTTGGTTGTATTTCATTCCACCTGTTATTCCCCTTAATGTTTGTAAATGCTCTGTTTTACATTTCCCTGGGATGAAAAAAAGTTCCCGCTAACACGATTTTCCTGATAATTACTTTGAGGGAAAATGTACATGCTATGACTGTGATATGCGGTTGTCTCACCCAGCTATCTTAAGATGAATGCAGTAATTGTAAGTCGCTCTGGAGAAGTGTCCGCTAAATGAATCAAATGTCATGTAAATGGTTGAATGCTGTAAATACAAAGTGCTGCATTGTCTCTAGGCCTAATCTTGTGCATTGTTTCAGGCCAAAATTGCAATCCTTCAATCCTTGTATTGACAATGTACAATTTAATTATTTCCATTTTAGTCACTTATCCATCCAGAGCAACTTACAGTTAGTGTATTCATATTAAGATAGCTAGGTGTGGCAACCTCATATCACAGGAAGTACATCTTTCCTCAAAGTAGCTATCAGCAAAGTCAGAGCTAGTAAGTAGAGAAAAAAGTCAAGTGCGAGTGAGTGTTAGTTCGAAAGTTTTGTACTCAAATATTCAGTAGGCTCTTCAACAACGGAGAATAAATTGTGCACACAACCTTTATCCAATTGTTTGGTGCAAAAGCACACCACTGCCTTGAGACAGACTGACACAAATGACAACACAGAATTGCAGAAGCATGGTACCTTTTAAAATTACTCAAACAGTTTTGATGGGATTTTTTAATATTCAATATGCATCTAGAAGTAGCCTACTGTACATAGATATTTAAATCAATGAATCATCACACTGTCTGCACATTCCATCTGGATTGCTGGGATTCAGCTTACTGTATGACAATAATAGGCTATGCACACCAGAGAATAATCAGTCATTTTCACCTCATATTTGTTCAGTGGCACATAGTCTTGCAGACTCACTGGGGAAAATATATTCCCTTCTCAAATCAAACACATTTAGGCTCCAATGAGATGAAACTCAAACGTTAACATATGGGTCCAATACAGGGTAAGGCACAGCAACTTACATTACATTATTTACATTTAAATGGGTGTATAGCAAATGTCCTTATAGCAACTCAACAAGATTGGTTTTAATGCAGAAACATAGAACACATTATCTATTGCACTATTGCAGACTCTCTCTCTTATCAGAATGATGAGTACATCCCAAGTCTCCTGGCAGCCTCTGACTTCTTGGGCTCTTTTCTCTGGGGGAAGGGGTAGTGGTGAAGGGGGCTGAAGGAGAGCAGAGGCGGCCGCTGGCCCCCAAAACTCAGTTGTCTGGACAAAACGGCTGGGGCTGAGAACTTCCGGGAGCCTGAAATGCTGTTACTGGTACTCAACTCTTCAGAATGGATAGAAGTAGAATCCCCCAAGACTTTGTCACTGGACGTCTCAGGACAGTCCTCAGATAGCGAAGTCAAACTCGAAGAATTGCTGCCGGTGATTGTGGGGTTTGGATGAGGTGCTATGATACCGTTGGTCCGTCGGTGGATTCCCAAGTGTGTGTGCCATGGGGTTCTCTCAAGGTCCCCAACAAAATCAATCTCAGCCTCTGACACCGACCTCTTCCTCTCAGGTGTGCTCTTCATCTCCTGCTTGACCAGGACCACATTGACCAGGGCTTTCCCACTGATCTCTGCTGCATCATCAGCTGATACTGTCAGGAAATAGAATGGAAAAGTACAGACAGGTGTACAGACATTTGCAATCAACCTTCCAGCAAAAAATAAAAGTGCTTACTGATGCAGTCATGCTATTGTAACAAAAATATAGCTCATGTTCAAATGACCACACACACACATTTCCAGAAGCCTATAGCCAATGCAGCAGATCCAACCCGCTTGCTTACAGCTGCACTAGGTTTGGATAGACTTCCTGTACATATTACCTCAACTAATTTGTACCCTTGCACATTGACTTGCGCTGGTACTCCTTGTATATAGCCTCGTTATTGTTATGTATTGTGTTACTATTTTCCATGTGCAAATGTTCTTACTTTTTAAGTCTGCATTGTTGGGAAAGGGCTCATAAGTAAGCATTTCATGGTAAAGTATACACCTGTTTTATTCCATTGGTGCATGTGACAAAGAAAATGTTATTTGAATGGGACAATTTAAAGTACAAGGCATTTATCATCCCTGGATTTAGGTATGTTTTCATATCATGCAGGGGCTCCACAGGTGTCTACACAGGACGTCTGTCCGACCCTAGCGCAGCTGTAAGCAAGCAAGCAGGTCAGGTCTACTGGCTACCTATAGCCTAACTGCCATTTTTCTTGCTCAAAGCAGACTATCATGAAAAGCTTTTGTACTAACAAACAAAAGTAGCCAAGACTAATGCGGTCAAAACTACTCAAATTCACATGATATAAATCCATTATAGATGCTTTGTTGCAACAAATAACCAAGGACTCGCAATATCGGCGACAATGTAACAACAACCTGTTACTAGCGGCGACACGCCAGACAAAACTTTGAACAAAACTGCTTGTGTGCATACCATGCACGCAAAGCACTCATCGAAAGCGATGCCTACCTTGTCTGAATAAAACCACCGGGGTCTGGCGCTTTTGTTTCTCTTTAGTGCAGTTGTACTGTTCTCTCAAAAGTGCAATATCCTGGTTCATCCTGATTCGGTCCGCGACAATTCCGAGTTGGTCCTCTTCCTGAACCAAATGACTCACGTCTCCGGCTGTTTCCCTACGACTCCAGGATCTTATCGGTTCACAGGAACACGTCGAATTGCAACAGGAGCACCAGGACGACAACATCCTGTTTGCATTGATTACCAATTTAGATGTTTATTTCCCCAATCAAAAGAACGCACAACTGACAGAATGAAAAGCCTAGCCTAGTTAACTACCTGCAGCATGCAGAATAGCCTATTGCACTGTCTGCACCTGAGTAGGTGTGTAGTGTAGCCTGTGTACAGTTGTTCTGAAGTTTAATTCATGTGCAAACAACTGAGAGAATTGAAGGTTGCCCTTTTCTTTTACAAAATACCAAGTAGTACAATGTGTAGTTTAGCTAGTTTTGGTGAAAGGTGAAAACTGCTTATCTGTATGATAGAATAAAGTAAAATAGGTGAATAGGTTAGTATGACTTCATATAATACAATATTATAAAGTAAAGTCCCAAACATCATGCATACAGTAAGCTAGGCTACACAAACATTAAATTACTTTTGAGTCCTCATACTATAGAATCCAGTAGGTGGGCTTTTTTTTTAATTATCTGTAGCCCTAATAATCTAAATTGATTTACATGTTTATACATTATGTTCTGGAAAGATCTTTTGAATTACATTTTACATTTTAGTCATTTAGCATACATATTTTTTCATATGAATGACCCACTTTTTACTTGGACTATTTGGCACTGGCACACAGTATATTGACACAGCAGTGTTGTTGAAGTTGTGGGTGAGTCCTGCTTTGGAGGGGTGGCATAAATGGATGACATGGTGGTGGGGTGACACATCTAGCAGGTGTACCTGTGCTGTAAAACCCTTCACAGGAAATATGCCCTTAGTTTAATGCTTGGCAATTAAGCCTACTCAAACATCACTCCTTTGCTCCATTATTACTGCCTGTGAAATGGGTCTTTCTCCTTACTAAAGCAGTAAGGCATGTGTTTCAAAGATATCAGTAGGGCTACCACCGTGATTTTCTAAGCAAAACACTCCCACCTCCATGAATTGTTCAAGGAGACCTGTGGATTTCCTGTTTCTGAAAAAGAAGCAGTGAGCTGCTGATACAGCAAATTAAAGAACCCAATGGGTCTCTCTCACTCTCTCTCTCTCTCTTTGTATGTGTGAGGCTAGAGAACTTTTGATTAAAAAAAAAGTAATCAGAATAGCCGGTACTGATTTACATTAATAAAGCCAAGGGCAGAGTAGCGACTGGGCAGTCCAAAAGCGCTCAATCAAGTGTGTACGTTCAATAGGAAGGCACCCCAGTATACTGTAGCTTGCCAGTCGCCACACCACCCACTGCAAATCACATCATTTCAACGTGGAAAAGTTGATCATTTTCGGTTGAAATGTTGAGTAATGACATTTCAACCTTTATTCACCCACTGAAAAAGACAGCCAGAAGTTTGTTGAATTCCCAATGTGTTACCACTCACTGCACTTTCAACCATTTAAAAGCACAACAAAGTTCAAATGGGAATACAATGTCTGGTATTTTGTATTTATACAACAACTTAATGTGTTATCACTGTGCTTCATCTAATAGCAGAACCAAATGACCTGGAATGTATTTGAGATTACATAAAAAGTACATAGTGCAAGTGATCAATTGTCACGACTTCCTCCAAAGCTGCCACCTCTCCTTGTTCGGGCAGGCTTCGGCGTTGTCGTCACCGGCCTTCTCGCCACTGCCGCTCCTCATCTCATCATTCCATTTGTTTTGTCTTGTTGATTACACACACCTGGTTCATATCCCCTCATTAGTACTTGTATGAGTGTTCCCTCTGCCCCCTTGTCCTTGTGGGTCATTGTTTATTGTGAGGAGAGTGTAGCTCGGTTGAGCGCCGTGTATTTTGTATTGCCGGTGTACTTTTCCATGTGTTCCTGTTTGGTTCCAGTGCGCCTGTTTTGCGCACTGGACTGTTTGACGCATTTCCGCGTAACTCTGTATTCCGGAATAAATTCTGTATTCTGTGATTTACCCTCCTGCGCTTGACTCCTTTAAATCACCCATCATAGAATCACACACCCGCCATGGAGTCAGCAGGAGAGGAGCGCATGCCTGGAGTCGTGGCACGGGTCCAGGAGCATTCGACGATGCTAGCCAGCTTGGGAGAAGCGATGGATCGGGTTCTCCAGGTTGTCCAACGCAAGAGCGACATCATTGATGTACACAGAGAATAGAGTCGGCCCGGATGACCGCGGCAGCTTTCCAATCTCTGGGGATCTCAGGCGATACGAAAGAGAGGTTGAACAGGCTAGTAATAGGGGTTGCGACAATTTCGGCTGCTAATTTTAGAAAGAAAGGGTCTAGATTGTCTAGCCCAGCTGATTTGTAGGGGTCCAGAATTTTTTTTGGGGGGGGCATGGGCAAGTTGCAGCGAAGGGTGCAGAGCTGGTGGCCGGGGTAGGGGTAGCCAGGTGGAAAGCATGGCCGCTGTAGCAAAATGCTTGTTGAAATTCTCGATTATCGTAGATTTATCGGTGGTGACAGTGTTTCCTAGCCTCAGTGCAGTGGCCAGCTGGGAGGAGGTGCTCTTATTCTCCATGGACTTTACAGTGTCCCAAAACTTTTTGGAGTTAGTGCTACAGGATGCAAATTTCTGTTTGAAAAAGCTAGCCTTTGCTTTCCTAACTGATTGTGTATATTGGTTCCTGACTTCCCTGAAAAGTTGCATATCGCGGGGGTTGTTCGATGCTAATGCAGTACGCCACAGTATGTTTTTGTGCTGGTCAAGGGCAGTCAAGTCTGGGGTAAACCAGGGGCTATATCTGTTCTTAGTTCTGAATTTTTTGAATGGGGCATGCTTATTTAAGATGGAGGGGAAAGCACTTTTAAAGAACAACCAGGCATCCTCTACTGACGGAATGAGGTCAATATCCATCCAGGATACCCGGACCAGGTCAATTAGAAAGGCCTGCTCGCTAAATTGTTTTAGGGAGCGTTTGACTGTGATGAGGGGTGGTCGTTAGACCGCGGACCCATTACGGACGCAGGCAATGAGGCAGTGAACGCTGAGATTCTGGTTGAAGACAGCGGAGGTGTATTTAGAGGGTAAATTAGTCAGGATGATATCTATGAGGGTGCCCATGTTTACGGATTTAGGGTTGTACCTGGTAGGTTCCTTGATAATTTGTGTGAGATTGAGGGCATCTAGTTTAGATTGTAGGACGGCCGGGGTGTTAAGCATATCCCAGTTTAGGTCACCAAGCAGTACGAACTCTGAGGATAGATGGGGGGTAATCAATTCATATATGGTGTCCAGGGCACAGCTGGGGGCTGAGGGGGGTCTGTAGCAAGCGGCAACAGTGAGAGACTTATTTCTGGAAAGGTGGATTTTTAGAAATAGAAGCTCAAACTGTTTGGGCACAGACCTGGATAGTATGATAGAGCTCTGCAGGCTATCTCTACAGTAGATTGCAACTCCGCCCCCTTTGGCAGTTCTATCTAGATGGAAAATGTTGTAGTTGGGGATGGACATTTCAGAATTTTTGGTGGCCTTCCTAAGCCAGGATTCAGACAATGCTAGAACATCAGGGTTGGCGGAGTGTGCTAACGCAGTGAATAACTCAAACTTAGGGAGGATGCTTCTGATGTTAACATGCAAGAAACCAAGGCTTTTACGGTTACAGAAGTCAACAAATGATAGCGCCTGGGGAGTAGGATTGATACTGGGGGCTACAGGGCCTGGGTTAACCTCTACATCACCAGAGGAACAGAGGAGGAATATAATAAGGATATGTTGTATTTTTTACTTTATGTTTTGTTTTACCCCATATGTAACTCTTTGTTGTTGTTTTTATCTTGGCCAGGTCGCAGTTGTAAATGACAACTTGTTCTCAACTGGCTTACCTGGTTAAATATAGGTTAAATAAAAATAAATAAAATTAAAATGCAAATCAATTTACAACATTTTTGACATGCGTTTTTCTGGATTTTTTTGTTGTTATTGTGTCTCTCACTGTTCAAATAAACCTACCATTAAAATTATAGACTGATCATGTCTTTATCAGTGGGCAAATGTACAAAATCAGCAGGGGATCAAATACTTTTTTCCCTCACTGTATATACAAGGGGTACCGGTACCGAGTCAATGTGCAGGGGTACGGGGTAGTCTAGATAATTTAGGTAATACAGTTGAAGTCGGAAGTTTACGTACACCTTAGCCAAATACATTTAAACTCAGTTTTTCACAATTCCTGACATTTAATCCTAGTAAAAATTCCCTGTCTTAGGTCAGTTAGGATCACCACTTTATTTTAAGAATGTGAAATGTCAGAATAATAGTAGAGAGAATGATTTATTTAAGCTTTTATTTCTTTCATCACATTCCCAGTGGGTCAGAAGTTTACATACACTCAATTAGTATTTGGTAGCATTGCCTTTAAATTGTTTAGCTTGGGTCAAACGTTTCGGGTAGCCTTCCACAAGCTTCCTACAATAAGTTGGGTGAATTTTGGCCCATTCCTTCTGACAGAGCTGGTGTAACTGTGTCAGGTTTGTAAGCCTCCTTGCTCGCACACACTTTTTCAGTTGCTGGGACGTGTTGACTGCGTCCACCGATTCATTTTACCTGGGGTTTGATTTCAGCACTCAACAGGTAGGACTATTATGACTAGTCTTGATTATAATGCATGCATATTACATCGTTGTGTGTGCAATACTTCCTACGCATGCGTATCTTTGTGTAAACACGGAAGAGGAGATAAAACAACGAATCAGAAGCTACATTATTGTAGCTTTGTTTATCTTGAAAACTTGAGTCTCTCAAATAACCCATTCATGTGTGCCACTATTATTTGACTGCCGAGATTTAGTAGGTGTCACGGTCGTTGAAGAACAGGTCAGTCCAAGGCGCAGCGTGAAATGCATACATGTTTATTAAACTGAATAAACATACAAAAGGTTACGAAACGTGACGTCGGAAGGCTATACACTAACAAGCCAAACTCACCGAGCACTAACAAGATCCCACAACCCAGGCAGGAGAACTGGCTGCCTAAGTATGATCCCCAATCAGAGACAACGAGCGACAGCTGCCTCTGATTGGGAATCACACCCGGCCAAACATAGAAATA